TATACAGAAGTGGGGTTTCTCGTGGTTACATTCGGTAGCAACTAAAGTTAGTTCACCACAAAACTTCCCTCAGACAACAGCAGAGCCTCAAACCATTTTGTAGTTTAATTATGACCATACCAAGATTATCACGTTAATTTATCTAATTTTATAAAGATGAAATTATGATAAAGAAAGTGCGGAGCGTCTAATTTCGAATAGCCGTATGGCCGATTGAATATTCAACTCAAGGCGCCGCCAGTTCAGTTACCAGACTTATTTATAAATAACTAACCACTCCATTAACTACTCCCATTCGACCCTAAAATCTTGAAAAGTAATGCAATATTTAAATTTTCTTAGCCCAGAAGTATTGGCTAAACTCTGAAACTATAAAAATATTTTGATACAAACATTTTCAATACACATACATATGTACATAATACAAGTGTATGTAAGTGCTCACTAAGTTGTGAGACACATGTAATACCCACATGTATGCACCTGAACTGGGCAAATATGCACCATAAGTGCATAACTGTGTAATTACATTGTGGAATTGAGTGATCTGCTGCCAACTTAGCTGTCAACTCGAAAATATCAAATCCCAATTTACTATGCCCATTGACGTACGTGTATGTATGTTGCTAAATGCTTGTTGCATTCGCCTAAAGTACAAACGAGCATACAAACATACTATGTTAAGCATATTGAGACAACATGCTGTGCAAAAATATTGGTACTTGTGACTGTGTGTGAAGGTGTGTGCGCGCAGCGTTAAGGTGCGACCTGATATATAAACAATTTAATCTTTTGCATAAAAGTTTCTCAGAAAGATTTAAAAATCAAACTTTTCTACTTTCAAAATTCCCGAATCTTTTTTTTAGTAAGAAAACAAATAGTACTTCTAAAGGGTGTTTTTTCAGACATTGGGTTTTTATGAAGAAATAAAATATATGACTAAATGTTATAGTCAGTTTTAGATAGATAGATTATGTTTTCGAAATGATTTCGGGCAAGCGACCACTTCTTTCAGCAATCGCACCCATATTTCAGCATAAACTCCCTAATATTCTCTTCTACGCGTCAATCGTCTTATCTGATCCGTGTAGACAAACTATTTCACATAACCCCAAAAAGAATAGTCAAGCGGTGTTAAATGGCACAATCTTGGAGGTAGGCCGTAGGTCCACGACGTGATACACTTACCGAGAGTTATCTTCAATAGATTGAACTTTTTGGAACCAAAAATGGTCGTCCACATCAACATTCTCCAATGCAGACCCAAAAAATGGTCGTCCGCATCAACACTCTTCAATGCAAGCACAAAAATGTTATTAATTATGGCTCTATAGCGCTGCCCATTAAATATAATACTATGACTGGCCTCATTTTGGAAGAAATATGAAAAAATGATTTCCAAAACATTGGGTTTTTGAATATATAGCGGCGTCTCAACAATGATTGTGGATTGCCGTTACCCTAACTGCAACAATCAGAACAACGTCTTCTTGTAAAAATCGGCTTCGGTGGGCATTTCGTTTTGCGCCCATTCAACCAACGTGCGATGCGCTTGATAGTCGTTCGGCTTCAATTCTGGAAAGAGTTGGATTTTATAAGCCCGCAACCCAAAATCCTGCCGCAAAATCTTCCATAAAGTGGATGGACGCCACATCTCTTATATAGCGCGCGAAGGCGCTGGTCTTTTTCAATACACTCCTTCAAAACAGAAACAACATCTTTGAGGATACGCTTTATCCATTAGATTAAACGTGGTGCGAAACTGATTTATGGTTGCTCGAATTACCGACTCTGCTGGGCAATTATGTCGACGGAATATTGGACGCAGCCCGCGTTGCATTGTGCGAACCGAGCGATTGCTTTGGTAATAAATATGGACGATTTGCAAACGTCGTTCCGGAGTAAACCCCCACAACTGCGAATACTCTGTATTAGGTAAGACATTTGCTATTCGCTATACCACTGATTTGGATGGTACAAAAGGATCACGTAAAGTGAAGTTTGCTTGATCCAAACAAAAGGTATTAGTAACAATTCCAAACACACGATCCGCTATCCAAATTTGTGTCGACTTGCGTGTGACAAAACCTCCAAATCGATCAGAAGTGTCGGATTCTAGTGAGGAATTTGTCCTGAGTAGGATCAGCAACTCAAGTAAGCGGTGTGTTCTTTCTGAGTATGTCTTAAAAGTTAATTAAAAGCTCCTCATGAAATTCTGTCTGCCTTTTGGATGCAGCTAAGAAAAATTGCAGGTCTCTCAATTTGTTGTAAAATCAGCAAGATGCTTACCACAAATTAGAGGAGGAGCTGGTCCGATAGTCACTTCAGCGGTTACATAAAGCTTTAATTTATCCGCTCTTGATAGCAGATCACACTTTTGATGAGGATCACTCGTGACATGTATACAGTGGCAATACATAGGAGCCGAGTTATGGCTTTCCCCACATTTGATGAAAGCCTCAATCTGCATCAAGCGAGGCTCTTGAAAATATCATGCCTCGATGATAGAGAATGACAACGTACGCCCAGAAGACACCAAATAGCGCCCCCGTCATGACATTAAAATCGTGCTAGGCATTTTTAACTTCTTGGAGGGCAAATATGGTACTTTCCGTTCGATTGGGAAAATGCTCGAAACAGTTTCAAGACAATTTCAAGACTCATTTAGGTAACAAAGAGGTAATCTGGAGACCCTTTTCAAAAAAATACTGAGTATATGAAGGAAACACGTTTCCAGTCTACTAAATGGCGGTGAAAGCGCAATTCCCGAAGGTGGTGAACCCGAATTCCCAACCCGAACCCGAGACGTTACAATGGCCTAAGTTTGAGTATCAACTGTCCGCTTAAGAACAGTCAGAGCAACAGAAGCGGATATATGTATTTCTGTTGTCTTCGGATTCCGGTCAAAATTTTTAAGATATTTTTAATTTAATTATCAATTAACAGTTCTAAAGAAGTTTTGCAAGAAACTGGAAATCACAAATTTCTCTATAAATACCATTCGACTTCATGACTCACACACCCTAACACAAAAATATTCTACTTTAAGGGGGAAAACTCAAAATGAAAATGAAAATGAAAATGTCACATTGACTTCGACATCGATTGCTGTTGAGTGATGACAACAACAAGTGGCAAGGACATTTATGCATATCCTTTTGTAGTGAGAGTACAGAGACTCACAGCGACAGAAAGTCCATCAATTTGTTTGTGTGTAATGACAAGAAAGCAACTGTTGATGGCAGCTTTGCACTGTATGGATGCAGCAATTAACCTCCACCGCCGCCAGTCCCGTCCAATGCGACAACTGTTGCTTTGAGATTTTCTGTTCAACAAATCACATTTCGCCACAAGCGAATCCAACACTTGCAAATGTGAAATGTGAACAATTTTAATGAGCAGCTACTCAAGCATACGTGTATGGTTGCGGATTCCTGGGAATAGTCGTACAAGAAGATTTTGGGTTGTAAGCTGAGAATGAAATGTACTTCATGCCGTCTAAATGTTCTTAGGCCGTGCAGTCGCTTCGTTCGATAGCAGGAATGTAACTGTATTTCATTATGCAGCACAATGAGAGTTATGATTTTGAATTGCTTTGTAATGGGATAAGTAGTTCCGTGGTCGGGTCAGGCTTTTATTGAAGACTATATTTGGTATAAGAATGCAGCTATGGAAAAGTAACAATGAGAATTTCAGGTGTAAGGGGGCACACTTAATAAGTGATTGTTTCTTAGCCTTTCTGTGATGGAGGAAGGGAGTGAAGGAGTGAAGTTAACTTAAAAAATTCTACCCTTCAACCACTGAACCAGTTTGGGTACTAATAGATGGGTTCCAAAAGGCCGAAGAAGGGCAAACCATTTATCAAAACATTTGATGGATTTGCTTTATGATCTCAGCAGCGAGTTGTGATAAAAAAGTAGCTAAATTCTTGTACAAAAACAACAAGTTTTCTGAATCAGGCCCATCATATCTTTTCTCAAACTAACAGCTTAGAATTAAAATGTTGAAAGAAGAAGAAAGAAGTTGCCAACTGATCTTTCAGTATGGGATAGAATGTGGCGGTCGCAATAACCGAGTGGCTGGCGGTGCATACTATCACGAGAAAGCATCTGGATTCGAGTCCAGGAGTGTATTACTGACATGAAATAAAAGATTCTCATAAAAATCCATCATCCTTTCGGAGGCGGCTTAGTGTAAACTGTACGTCTCTCCATTCGTTGAAAAAAAACATTTAAGACCCAAAACCACAAACAGGAGTAGGGGCTCGGCTGAAAAACCCGCTTCAGCAGATACAAAGCGCCAATTATATATTACATAATCATCTTGATGTCAAAATAAATGCGAGATCCTTAAAGGAAATGACATCTGGAGCAATAAATCTGTCTACTTTAATGACCAAAAAGTCTGGCCATACAAGAAACACTTCTATAGACCCTTCCACCTTTGAGACTCCCAACTGTGGAAAAGTAGACGTGCCAAAACTCCTAAAGAGAAACCAATTTAGAAACGCAGTCATCAATATACATATATATATATATTTAGGGATACAGTCTCTGCATGCCAGTTCTGCAGTATCCTCGCATGTGCAGGTGGCTAAAATGTAAAGAAACCCAGCTTCCATAAGTCTTATTGAAGTTTTCACAAAAACAACAATCATTAGCATGACATTGAGGGCCAGTGTTGGGGCGAATCGGCCCTGATACTAATGAGGTCCTCCCTTCGCCAAGGTTAACTATGGTTTTCCAGAGTTTTAGTTGATAAACCCCTTGGCTGTCCGTTTGCTGTATTCCTAATGCTTGGCTAACAAAAAAGATTTCTGTTGAAGATGACCCCTATTGGTCTTAGATACCATTTTACTTCATTCGTTTGGATACGGTTTTTGTAGGAATTATATATATTTTTACGTGCCAGGAAAGAGCCGGCACTAGTAAAACTCAAAAAAAAAAAAAAAAAATTGTGAACACAGAAAAAGCTGAAGTTAAACTCCACTCTTTACCTACCTTGATACATCAGCCCACAATTGAGCCCGACCGCGGGTGACGTTTCGAAGACATGATGCTCCAGCCGTAAGTCTATAAACAAATGTCGTCCCATGTGTTCTGCACCGCCGCGTGTGCGCTCAACAAAATCCTCGGCGCCATTCGACTCCGATTGTTCTTCCTCTTCCACGTCCACAACATCGTTGAGAAAATCACTAAAACCATCGTGGCATGCAGTTGTCTTGCCAGCGATTGTGTTTGTTTTTGTTTGTTTTGTTTGTTGTGCAATTAGCGATGCAGCCGACGCCGTGGCACCTGTATTTGATCGTTTTGTAGTTTCCCTCGTAAGCACGCCATCATTTGAAGCTCGTGACGCTATATGCTCGGCATTAGCGTATGTGTACTGCACGTTGGCAGCACGGCTTGAGGCTGAAGCGGACACTGCCGCACTGTTCCCCGTATGGTCGCCGGAGGATAATTTGTTTGAATTGATGTTAATCTCATCGTCGTCGTCGTCGTCGGTGTTGGTTAATTCAGTGTTACCGGAAACTAATTGTTGTTCGTTGTCGTTGTTATTGTTGCTATTACTCTTCCCCGCGCTGTTATTGTTACTATGATTGCCGTAATTGTGGTCTGCCGTTTGCGCAAAATATTTAGCACCGCCATCGTTGTTTTGGCTGTGGCTGTGGCTGTGGCTTCGGTTTTGTGTTGCAGCCACCCGCACAACGGTCGACGGGGGGACCTCATTTGTCGTACTCTTGTTAGGCACAACAGTGGCGGCACCGGCGGCATTGAGGCTTCGCTTCACGCGAGGTGGTCCTGGAGAACGGCCTGGCGCTGGGTCACTGTTCATATGGCCAACCGTCTGGATGGTGAATAGTCCGAAAAATAAAAGGCATATAACTAATTTCGTCATTATAACTACTACTACAACAACTACAACTACAACTACAGCGTGAATTCGTTGCGCTTTGTGGTTGCTGTGGTTGTGGTCCTCGTTGTTGTTGTTGCTGCTGTTGGTGCTCCTTTTGGGCTTTTTGTTTTGGTTGCTGAAGTTGCTTGTGGTGCTGTCGTTGGCTGCTCTTCTCGTTGCGGGTGTAGTTTAACTGCGCTTGTTGCAGTCGGTTTTGTTTTAGTTTCTGTTGTTGTTGGTAGTAGTGTTGTTGATATTGTTGTTGGTGATGTTTTTGCAATGGCGGTCTGTGTATCTGCAATTGGATTTCCATAGACGTTGGCTGCTTGGTTTGCTCTGCGCATATAAAGGGAAGTTTGCTCTTGTTCTTGTTTGGTTTTAATGTTGTTGTTATTACTATTTTTGTTAATTTATTTCACTATTCACAACTAACTGTTTCGCTAATTGCAGCATTTGTTTTTTTGGTTTTGATTTGCTTTACACATACATATCGGAGCTCCATTAAATTGATCACATAATTGTATTCCTTTCAATGTCTGCTTAGTTCTTGTTTTCGTTTTACCGTTAATGCCTTTAACCGCGTTCGATGCTTCTGTGGGTTTTTATTTCCTTCGCTGTTATTCTCATCGATTCGAAAATCCATTTGGTTGCTTCTTCTGGTTTTGGCATTTCCGCCTGATTTTGGGTGAGTAGTGGTCCGGTGTAGAACGAGTTTATCTGAAAAAAAGAGTAAAAATTATAACAGTAGTTTAAAACACTGGTTATTTATTGTTAAAAGTAAAATGGCAAACTTTTATTAAAAAAACAAATTCAAGTCAACTGCTGACCCCCCAACCTAGGCGGCCCTGCGGTCGATGGATTTTCATGATGAGCTTTTATTTAATGCCAAAATTGCGCTCGGAGGGCTTGACATTCCCTGCGGATGGACTACCATAATTAGAAAAATTAATTTTCTGTAATTTTGGATATTCTTCAGTGGAAGTACGCATTACTCACCACTACTACAGCAGCCGCCATATATATATAAATATAAAAAAATATACTCCATTGAAAAATCAAGTAAAGCCTCTGTTGAGAGACTCTCGTAAACGATTGAAGAATCACGACTTGAGGTTATACACCTGGAATGTTCCGTTCTTTAATTGGGAATGAGCTATTGCCCCGTTGATTGATATTTTCATAAATATAAAAGCTGACTTGACCGCTATTCAAAAAATACACGGGGCACGTACGAACAAGACGAGCAGTTGGTTGCGAAATTTGCTACAGTAGCCATAGAGACTTCGTCGTCGAGTAATGGAATTCACTCCAATGCACGAACGTCTCCAGCCCGCATCAATGGTAACTTTTTAATTACAACACTGATTTGTACCCACGCCCTGACAGAAGAGAAAGTAACATCAACGTTATGAGGGCGTGGAGTATACTTTCGACCACTGCCCACGATGCCGAAATTGTGCTTGGCGTCTTCAGCGCCGGGGTGAGCAAAACAAATTTATTCCGTTTAATGGTTGGAAAATTCAGCCTCCCCTTCGAAACATCCCCCAAATGGTTTGAGGCTGATCGACTTCGCCGGGGCCCGAAATATGTTGTCTGTTGTTGGCTGTCTCCAGATCGAAACACTCGAAACCAGATCGATCATCGACCTGCGAACAATCCGAGTACCTACCTTTGATTCAAAACACTATCTTCCCGCATCGAACGTTGGCACCCATCTCTGTGCATCAAATAATGGCCGCCAATAAGTACAAGGAAGATCCGACGTAGAAAAATTGTAAACACAGCATCTAGACAAATGATTTTCTACTAGGCTGTCTCTAGATCAAAACAAGCACAACCAGATCTATCATGTTGTGTAATAGACGAAAGACATGTACCCAGTATTTTGGATCTGCATACGTTCCAACGACCTCACATAGAATCAAATCACTATTCCATGCACCCGCCTCTGTGTATCAAACAACGCTCGTCTATAAAGAAAAGGAAAGCTCGACGTCGAAAAGTTGCAATTGTAACAAACAGGCGAACAATTTTTTATTCGAAATGCACACGAGCACCAATCAGAAACTCAGTGCAAGGGAACTCTGGAATGGCAGCACAAGCTCCAAGGGCTGTTGACAGAAAGTAGGCCTTCCACTCCGCAACCTTGTAATCGACCACAACACGACGGGGTGGAATGGATATAGCTGAAGACAGAAACAATTATAATTTGCATACAACAAGAGAAAAAGTCCAAAATGTGTTTGTGGGTAGAGCCTGAGAAACTGGTCAATAAAAGTATGTTTTATATATATATGAAAAGATGTAACGTCTCAAAAAAGGTTTCAGAACCGGGAAATGCTCATGTAGGAACAGAAAAGCTAATCAAGTGCCTGATGTCCAAAGCATCATTGCTTTATGGAGGGAACACTTTTCTAGCCTGCTGAATGGCAGTGATAGTGTAACATCCGGAGATGGTGACCTTAGAAAGTCAAGCCATGATGATGGAAAAGACTTTCGAATAGCGATTAATTGATGCTGGAGAAAAGATTAAGAACTGCAGAGCTAACTAGGGAAGGTACAACCTTCAAAAGAGTGTACAACTGCTGACGTATGACGAGTAGCGGTGCCTAGGCCAATGGCGATGAAGATTTCAATTGCTTTATTTTTTTTAATAGAAAATTTCCTGTATAGTTTAGGTTTTTGATTTGATACGTATGAAAATAAAAGTATTTGGTTTATATATTTCTTGTGTATCTTCAAATGCTTCAGCGAGGCATTCTCCTCATCAATCATACCGTGAATAACTTTTATATGTCAAAAATTCTCTGGAGTTTTATGCAAATATTTAAAATTACCTCTCTTATAAACGTATGTACATATCTACATATTATATATTTTCTTACGAAGTCCTGCCTCAATTATACCTCCAACTACTTTTTGATTCTTTCAATTACAATTACAGGTGTGTCAAGCTGTTAATAAAATAACTAAACAAAAACCAATTAAATGATTAACGGTAACTGAAAAGCCGAAGCTTTTGGGATTGCGTTTAATTAGTGAGAACGTGTTTAATATATGCGCGTATGTATGTCTGTGGGTGACGTGATGCTGAACAGCTTTAATATAAATTTAGTGTATGCCTATGTAAATATATATACATACACATACTCATAAGTATATGCACGCTTGAACTGTTTACTGGTTAATATGAGTACAGTGATCCCAAAAATTATGCATAAGTAATATTTGTATCAAACAAAAAATATTAGCACAAATATGTATAATAGAACCTTAACTTTAATAAAAACTTATTTTAAACATAAAACAAACAAAAAAAATAATGAAAAAATAAAATAAATTAACATAAAGTAAATTAATACAAGATAAGACAAAATGAAATAAAAAAAATAAAATAAAATAAAGATAAACAAAAATAAAATAAAATAAAATAAAATAAAATATAATAAAATAAAATAAAATGAAATAAAATAAAAAAAAATAAAATAAAATAAAATAAAATAAAATAAAATAAAATAAAATAAAATAAAATAACATAAAATAATAATAATAAAAATAAAACAAAAAAAAATAGAAAATGCCTCAGTCAGAACTAAAAAATAAATTAATATAAAATAAAAGGAAAAAAAACAAGGTAAAATAAAAAACGCCACAGTCAGAACTCTTTTCAAAAATAAAATGATATAAACCAAAATGAAATACAATAGAATAAAATGCAGCAAACTAAACTAACATGAAATAAAACAAAAAAAATAAACTAAAATAAATATAAAACATATGTAAATAAACAAAATAAAATAAATAAAATAAAAAAATAAATTAAATAAAATTAAATAACATAACATAAAAAAACAAATAAAAAAAATTTAATTAAAATAAAATAAAACGCAACAAGTTAAAATAATATAACATAAAATAAAACAAAAAATAAAATAAAATAAAATAAAATGAAATAAAATAAAATAAAATAAAATAAAATAAAATAAAATAAAAAAACTAAATAAAATAAAACATAATAAAATGAAATATAACAGAATAAAATAAATTAAAACAAAAAAAAATAAAATAACTTAAAATTAGAATAAGTTATTTATTTACATACCTATATATGTTATACATAAATGGCACTTTGTAACCGCTGAAGTGATTTTTCGGCCGAGCTCCTCCTTCAATTTGTGGTTTTGCGTCTTTTGATGGCAGTCTATACTAAGCCGCCTTCAAACGTTTTACGAGGAGCCTTTTTACATCTTCGAAATACACTTGGAGGGGTGAACATTCCCTGCCAAGGGGCGACCGTAATTAGAAAATTTAATTTAATTTTTTATTGATATTAGTTTTTCACATCTTTTGGATGTTAGCGGCACCGGCCTTCCAAATGTCAGTACGCAATGCTAACCACTCGGCTACCGTGTGGCCGCCATTAGAATAAATTAAATTAAATTAAATTAAGTAAAACAAAATTGAATTAAATTATATTAGACTAAATCAAATTGAATTAATAATTACAAATAAAATTTCAAAAGCTGATAGGAAAATCGTAATTTTTTAACTTTCCTGTGCACATTTACCAAACACTGTATGCACACATGCGACAATATAAATTTGTTTTTGTGTATTTTATTGCTTACATTTGGTAAACATGCTACATATGATTATGCATATAGATTTATATGTATATGTGCGTCCCACACACACATATTATATACGAGTACACTCAAACGCACACAAAACCTAAATAATAAAATGCGGCTAACCGATGAAGTAGACCAAAAGTTGAGTGTGTGAGAAATGCGCTTTCATGGTTATCCTTTACCCAAAGGACTGCTTTTGCTTCATGAAAGGCTGTAAATATTCCTCCTACAGAATATAATATAAATTGCGTGTTACATACATATGCATATCCTGTGCACATACATCAATATATGCATGTGTATTATATACATGGCAAACAAATATATGTCGGAGGATAATCTCTTAGGTATATAAAATCATTTGAAATGTGAATATTATGTTTATTCTTCTTTAAAGTCTATCTGTCATCATCAGTATTTCGAATTTTGCTGGCGTGTGGATATTTTTTTTTGTTTTTGTTTTGTTCACAAGAGGTGTTTTAAGTGCTTAAGTGTTTTATATCTTAAATTTAAGCTGTTGGGCTTCAAAACAAGACGATTATTTGGAGAGTTTTGGTATCGGAGGGTTATTGAAATAGCGAGAAATGCATAGAGGTTGGAAAATACAATATAACAACTCTGTTTTGAATGACCACTACATCGACAGAGACCATTTTTGAGCTTCAGTCAGAAATTGTTTCAAATTGGACGGAAAGAAATTAAATTAAATATTCATAAATTTAAAGGTGTCATTGAAAGAAGGAAATTTTATTGAAAACTGTTTTAGAGAGCATTTATATGAGGACTGATCGGACTCGGATATCTATTCAGCTGCAAACGCCCGGGCAATAATAAGAAATGTAAAAGATTGCGAGCAGAAAGTAATATCTTCACCCAAGACCATTACCATTCCCGCAAGGAAATTCTCAAAGTTGGTTCAGACGTGAACTTCAACATCTTAGCCCCACCTCATGAGGTCGCTACATGCATACTCGTATAACTCGAGTTTGAGCTCTCAGGAAAAGAAAGCTTTTACACAAACATCTGCGTCGATTGTCTTCGCAATATTGTCTTGGTAACCAACATTGATTGGATGGTTGATTAAAA